TGATGGACTGGAGACCTGTCCAGGTGTCCCTGTGATGGACTGGAGACTTGTCCAGGTGTCCCTGTGATGGACTGGAGACCTGTCCAGGTGTCCCCCGCCTCTCCCACAGTAATAGCTGGTTATGGGCACCAGTGACCCCCACGACCCAAAAAAAGTGAGTAGCAGATGTTGTCTGGACCTCCTGCTGTAATGGTTAGTCCATCAGAAGTTCTGAGTGTGTGCAAACTGTACCTGTTAAAGGCTGCAACATTGTCAGCCAGAGTGCTCTGTCCATCAGCTCCGGAGCTGTAGTAGTCGTATACTGCCTTAGGAAGAAGTCTCCTGGCTTCCTGCTCGAAGTCAGAGACACACACGCACTTCTGCAGCATGTTGTTGGTACCAGCGGAGACCTGGTCCCTGTCTAACTGCAGCGATGGGACCAGCTGTAAATAAGCAGCACAGCTGTAATCATTAACCTCTGCAGGAGGCATGTGCAGCTTCATGTTAGTTTACACAAGATTAGCTCTGTTCTGATCAGTCGGGATTACAAGAAACTTCATTTCCTGTGTTTAGTTTGTTGCCAGGTTATGAAACAGTGACAGCTGACCGTGAAGTGTGCACGTGGACCAGAAACCAGATGCTGCAGTTCAGACGTGCCAAAGCGTTCAATGAAACACGCAACGCTTCTCAGTTCCACGTTTATTTGGCATTCAACAAAATTCAATAAAAACTTGGAGTTAACACATTTCACCTTCACCACAAACATAATTTTTATAATAAAACTGTAAAACTAGATTAGTCAAGATTCATAAAATGCAACAGGCAAGTCAAAGAAAGAAAGGAAAAAGAAGTCTACTCCTACAAACAGTTGGAAGTACAGCGCAGCCTAAAGATCCAGACTGAAGCAAAAACTAAGAGGTTCTCATGCCGTGGTGACAAACTGCTGAGAGTCTCATGGATGAGCCTTCAGAACCATTCAGGTAGTCCAGTTTAATCCACAGACAGACGAGATTCTACTGATCAGATTAGACAACATTCAGATCACGGGATCTAACTGGAGCACGTTCTGTGTCCCCGGTGTTCCAAGAGTCCTGATCATCTTTTGTGTTCAGCCTTCATGCCCCTCGTCTCGTCCTCTGGCCAATCAGAACCACATGTCACAGAACGGAAAGGTGAAAATAAAGAGTGCCCATGGAAAAGTCTGTCCATCTGAGACTGGACCCTGGTCCAGTCCTCCCTGAAGACCACTTCAGAGGCAAACAGCTCACGTCTTCGTCCTGCCTTCAGACGGATGCAGTGATGCGTTTAGGTACACGAGCTTCGCAGGTAAGGGGGGAAGGTTGTCCAAGTTGAACGGTGAGGAGGCCTTTTCCCTCCTTCCCCCCTCTCCCCACTTCCGGCACTGGTTTTTGCCCAACCAAACCCTGAAAAGGAAGGTGGGTCTGCAGGCCCACTAAGAACCAAGTCCTGCTCGCCGGTGGTTGTGGGGGAGTGTGGTTGCAGCGATGCCATCAGGTTGCTGCCCCAGTTTGGTTGCCCAGGAGTTTGGAAGGGCGGACGAAGCATCCGCCTCCCGTTTCCTCCTCCTTGGGTGGCCCGGTGCTGTTCTTCGACACCCAAGCCCCGCAGGACTTTGGTGGATCTCCAAGCCTTCGCTGGACCAAAGACATGAAGCGGCGCAGTGCTCACACCCAGGCTGTCCAGCCCTCATACAACTGGGCCAGGTTGTCCATGTTGGTAGCCTCTTTGATGACAACGTCCACCTGCAACAACAAAAAAGCAGATTTAAATAAAGACTGGGTGGAAGGGCAGCGGCTCATCTTTAGAGTCAAAGTGTGGTCAAGAACTAAAACACAGGTGGGATGGAGCTGCAGAAACCCTTCATCTGGGCTCCACCTGTCCACCAGCCAGGCCAGCAGACATCTGAAAGCTATAAAGTCAGTTCAAACATTAAGAGCCATATCCTCTCCTGTTATGCTAAATGATAAACTAAAACATTTCAGACCAGAACTCCTTGTAGGGACAGCTCCAAACATGTCGTTAGTATTGTGGGTTTGATGTAGAATCCAACGATGCATAAAACTGTGTCACATACAGATTCAAGGTCTGTGGAACCTGGAACACCAACCAGCAGTCCAGAACCTGTCTCCCATACAGTTTTCAACATGGAAGGATTTGAAAGGTTCAAAATATCAACATATGTAGAGAAGGAGAGGAGTTATGGTAGCTCTGTGGGCAAAACCACACCTGACTGGTGGGACAGAAGTATTGTTCATCCTTCTCTAGAAAATCAAGAGGCCTTGTCTTTTTTATACACAGTTATTGCTTGTTCAAGTTAGAGCAGTTTCTGAGGGAGCGGGAAGGTTCATTAACGTCCTGCGGCACATTTACAAAGTAAAAGTGTCTCCTGTGAACCTATATCAGAGTCAGAGTTTCTTTATTGTCATTCGCACCTCATGTGGTGGAGCGGAATTATGTCCACAGGGTCCCAGTGACATCCAACAATAAAACAATGATCACATCTAAGATATGAACTAAGAAAAACATCTACTAAATATACACTAAGCACTAGTAGTATAAAAACATTACGTCGAACATCAGCACAAACATGAGCATGAGTCTGTGTGAGCAGATGAGCACCAATGAACATATCAACATGAAACCGATCAGCAGCAACATGAAAGAGATCAGCAGCAACATGAAAGAGATCAGCAGCAACATGAAAGAGATCAGCAGCAACATGAAATATATATGCTCCCAGTTTGGATGAAGACTCTTTACGACAAGTTTTCTGGATGGTCTGATATGAAGTTCTGGGTGGACCTTTCCTTGGACTGGACATCTCTGACTTCTGTTATTTAATCAAACTGACACTAAGTGACTGGGTCCATTCACAACAACAAACTATAAACAGTTTACTGACGGTAACCCCTGGTGATTTTTAAATCAAGATAAGAGACAGTACCATTTTATTGATTGATTTATTTTACTATATTTAGCAAACCTACACTTGCATATATTATTTTTAGTTAACAGAAAGCTGCTTTAATCAGCTTCAGGCTGAAAATATGACTATTGTAGTCTTGGGACATTCTTTGGTCTTCGTGATTATTTCCAGCAATGTGCTAATGCAAGACTACAAACAAGTGATGGCACCCTTTACTCCTTGAAGATGAACAACTTGGGTGAAACGGTGGCTCAGTTGATAGAGCTGCCACCTCTCAGTGAGAAGGTTGCTGGTTCAAATCCCAGTCACTTGGGTCAAACCGTTTTCTCTGGGTCGGTCATTTGTAAAATGTATTTAATTTCCTTTGAAAACAGCCTCTGCTTCCTCCTCCCCCTCGCTCTGTTCAACTCGCACTGCAGAGTTTTTTTTTTAACTTTATTCAGTCAGTCAGCATTGACAATGAACTGCAGGTGAACAAAACAGCTCCGCAGCGCTGTGAAAGATGCATAATAACGCGACACAACGAATCGATAATGAAATTCATTGCCAACGCTTTTAATCATCGATTTTTATCGATTTTATCGATTCGTTGTTGCAGCCCTAGTTCTAATGTCAATTAGGGAGATGATAAGAGTCCTAAACATGTTCTCCACTGCAGGAGACACTGTCTGTCCAGAACACTCACACATGCTGCCTGAGAAGCAGATATGATCATTTTCCTCAACAAGAACCGTTTCTGATTTGATACTGTACCTGCTGCTAATCTGGACTGTGTTGTGCAAGTTGCTCTTTGTTTGATATTGTGCAGCAGGTTAGTCCATCAGTGGGAGCTCAGTAACATGGCAGCAGCATCACACACTGGACATGTGTCTCCATGAGGTTTTCAAAAATAAAGCTCTCTTGTCAAAGTGTACCCCTGTGAAAATTCATAACGTATTGAAGTTCAAAAATTTGATATTTATAAACTGGTTTAAAACAGCTCTGTGAGAAATTCTTAGTAAATTTAACAAAAAGTAAAAAGTTCATAGAATTAAAATTTAAACAGAAGTTCAAATTATTTCATCCAGAAAGAACTCTGACTAACTACTGAAAATCATTTATACCATGTAATTTTTTTTTATCTGCCTACACAAAGAATGGGAATCAATAGGAACCAGAATCAAAACTAAGAATTGGAATCGTTCAAATTCAAATGATGCCCAACCATACAGTGAGGAAAATAAGTATTTGAACACCCTGCGACTTTGCACCTTCTCCCACTTAGAAATCATGGAGGGGTCTGAATCTTTCATCTCGGGTGCATGTCCACTGTGAGAGACATAATCTAAAAAAAAATATCCAGAAATCACAATGTATGATTTTTTAATAATTTATTTGTGTGTTACTGCTGAAAATAAGTATTTGAACACCTGTGAAAATTAATGTTAATATTTGGTACAGCATCTTTGTTTGCAGTTACAGAGGTCAAAGGTTTCCTGTAGTTCTTCACCAGGTTCACTGCAGCAGAGAGTTTGGACCATTCCTCCACACACATCTTCTCTAGATCAGCAGGTTTCTGGGCTGTCACTGAGAAACAGAGTTTGAGCTCCCTCCAAATATTTTCTATAGGGTTTAGGTCTGGAGACTGGCTAGGCCACTCCAGAACCTTGATCTGCTTCTTACGGAGCCACTCCTTGATTCTCCTGGCTGTGTGCTTCAGGTCATTGTCATGTTGGAAGACCCAGCCATGACTCATCTTCAATGCTCTCACTGAGGCGAGTGGAATTAAGACCAAAAAGTTCTACTTTGGTCTCATCTGACCACAGAACTTTCTCCCATGACTCCTCTGGATCATCCAAATGGTCATGGTCAAACTTAAGACGGGCCTGGACGTGTGCTGATTTAAGCAGGGGAACCTTCCATGCCATGCGTGATTTTAAACTATGACGTCTTAGTTTATTACCCACAGTAACCATGGAAACAGTGGTGCCAGCTCTCTTCAGGTCATGGACCAGCTCCTCCCGTGTAGTTCTGGGCTGATTCCTCACCTTTCTTAGGATCATTGATACGCCACGAGGTGAGATCTTGCATGGAGCCCCAGTCCGAGGGAGATTGACAGTCATGTTTAGCTTCTTCCATTTTCTAATAGTTGCTCCAACAGTTGATCTTTTTTCACCAAGCTGCTTGGCAATTGCCTCGTAGTCCTTTCCAGCCTTGTGGAGGTCTACAATTTTGTCTCTGGTGTGTTTGGACAGCTCTTTGGTCTTAGCCATGTTAGTAGTTGGAGTCTTACTGATTGTGTGGGGTGGACAGGTGTCTTTATGCAGCTACCGACCTCAAACAGGTGCTTCTAATTTAGAATAATAAGTGGAGTGGAGGTGGACATTATAGAGGAGGACTAACAGGTCTTTGAGGACCAGAACTGTTGCTGATTGACAGGTGTTCAAATACTTATTTGCAGCAGTAACACACAAATAAATTATTTAAAAAATCATACATTGTGATTTCTGGATATTAATTTTTTTATATAGATGATGTCTCTCACAGTGCACATGCACCTAAGATGAAAATTTCAGACCCCTCCATGATTTCTAAGTGGGAGAACTTGCAAAGTCGCAGGGTGTTCAAATACTTGTTTTCCTCACTGTATATGAATACTAAAATAAACTACTACTTACTACATGTACTACTATTCCTACTTTGCGGTTTTTCACTCATCACGGGGCTTCAGGGTACGGATCCCCTGCGATATATGAGGGACTACTGTATATCCCTAATCTTGAATATTCTGTTATTTTTAATCTCTGGATCCTGCAACCTTCTTGTAAGGTGACAGCTCTAACCACTGCTCCACCGTGACGTGTTGTAGTGCACCAGTAAACCTTAAATTCAAAGCCCTTTATTATTTTTAACTTAGATGGTAATAAATAGGTAATGCTTTTTCTGTTGCATTTTATCTTGAATTGTTGAGATTATTCTACAGCTTCAGTGAAGTCCAATGGTCTTAACCAACACGCACACGCACGCACGCACACACACAGCTGAGCTGGAATGAGAGGAAAGCCTCTCAGACCTCGTATAATGATAAAAGATTTTGTGTTACCTGCTCGGTGACACTCATTCTCCTGTTGGGATCGATATCTCTGCCCTCCAGCTTGGCTTTAACTCTCTTCCACACACTGACAGCATACAAGTTTCTTTCCTGGACTGCTGCAGAAGGAAATGAAACACCTGTTAGACTCTGTGTGGTGCTAACAGCAGACGGTGCTGGGAGAGAGGAGCAGTACCTCGTCCTGTTTTAGGGTCTCGAACGGCCCTCTTTGGACTGGGGTTGAGACCTTTGCTGTTCGTCAAGAGAGTACTTGGCGGGGTGTCGGTGGGCGTTCCCAGGTTACGTGGCATTGCTTTGCGTGCATTCTGGGACATTGAGTCTGGCTGGGTCTTCACTCCACTGCATCTAACAGCTGAACCAGAACAATATACAACATGGTGTAAAAAAAACTTTAATATATTTATAGTTAGAATTTCTCTAAAGTGAAACCTTATTTCCTTCATATGATTCCAGATTTCAGAACATTTTAAAATCAATAATCTGAACAAATCATGTTTCAAAGAGGCAAGATTCAACCGTTCGAGGCTCCAGTTTGTAAAGGATTTGAACAAATCTTCTGGCCCGGTGTCCTTTAGACAGACGAGAACGGAGTAAAGACGTACCAGACACAGCCTTCTCAAGAACTGTTAGAGTAGGAGGCTGGAGTCATGTCCAACATCAGCTCAGAGATGTTCTGTGTGGTGAACGTGTTGGTGAACACACCGTTTAAACTCTGAACTCTGATGAAAATGTCTCACCAGCATCACAGACATGAAGAAAGTTATGAAGTCATAATCAGCAGCAGCTGTCAATCAGTTTTGTAAAGCGAGATAACAGTAATTTTCAAGAATCTAATAAAGAATTATTTCACAATGAATTCATCTTTATTCTTAATCTTGCAGCAGTCCCAGCTGAATGCATGCAGCTCAGAAACTTCAGTTTGTTTTCTCTGACTACAGACAAGATCATGAACTGTGATCCACATCAAAACATCTTATTGTGAACTTTTGAATAGACTCAGGGGGGAAATCAAACACCTTATTTAAATGGTAAATGGACTGTACTTATATAGCACCTTTCTATCTAATCAAGATACTCAAAGCTCTTTACAACACAATCATTTGATTTTATTCATTATTATTTTATTTATTTATTTTTTTACTTTTTTTTTTTCCAGAGTTTGTCATCAGAACTTTACAACATCGGGCCGAATGCGTCCCCACGAAGACAGAAGGGAAGGAAAAGGAACTGAAACACATTCAAGAAGCTCTTCAAACATGTGGATATCCTAACTGGGCTTTTGTCAAGTCAGCGAGGAAATCTACAAAGCACACCAATAAAAAGAAAAAGGAGAACAACAGACGTAAAAACATCGTCATCCCTTATGTTGCTGGAGTATCAGAGAAATTCAGAAGGATCTTCAACAAACACAAGATCCCAGTACATTTCAAACCCAGCAGGACTCTCAGACAGAGGCTGGTCCACCCTAAGGACAGAACACCCATACACAAACAGAGTGGTGTAGTGTATGAGGTCCAGTGCAGCAAGGACTGTCCAGACCTCTACATTGGAGAAACTAAACAGCCTCTTCACAGACGCATGGCTCAACACAGGAGAGCCAGCTCCTCAGGACAAGATTCATCTGTTCACCTCCACCTCACAGATAAGGGACACTCTTTTGAGGACCAAAATGTGCACATTTTGGACTGAGAACACAGATGGTTTGAGAGGGGGGTGAAGGAGGCAATTTATGTAAAAAGAGAAAAGCTGTCTCTTAACAGAGGAGGAGGCCTCAGATTCCCACTTTCAAAAATCTATAATGCAACTTTAAAACAGATTCCCAGTCTGTTTTCACACCTGATGGGAACAGAGGGGCCTCGACTGTGAATTAGAGTAACAAAGGCCTTAAGAAACCCCTACTGTTAAGGTGTTTAGGTGTGAATTGCCGATCTACATATGTGTGTGTGTCTTATCTCACTCAGCCTTATAACCTGTATCTCTCACTCTCTGCTCTTTGAATTGAGAAAGCTCCTCGGATGAGGAGCGAAACGTCTTTTGTTACAAATAAAGTCCAGTTGTTTTTGTATTGAACGCTTTTTGAAATTTGTCAGGCATTTTGTTGAAAAGGTTGAGTCGATTAGGTCATCAATTCCACACTCCACAGCCGACTCTTCAGTTCTTGTCCCCTGCTCAGCAGTCTTCAGTCACTTTGACCCCATCTCACTCTCATTTTTAAATGATGTTGTTGGTCACATGAAACCCTCAGGCTCCCCTGCTGATCCCATCCCTGCTGCATTTAAACAGGTTCTACCATCAACTGGACCCTCTGTTCTTGCCATTATTAACAACAGTTTGGCTACAGGTGTGGTTCCTTATGTTTTAAAACATGCAGTGGTAACTCCATTCATTAAAAAACCCGGACTTGACCCTGCAGTTTGTTCAAACTTCAGGCCAATCTCAAAACTTCCATTTCTTTCTAAAATCTTGGAGAAAATAGTTTTTAGTCAACTTACCAGGTTTTTGAATGTAAATGGAATTTTTGAGATTTTTCAGTCAGGATTTAAACAACTGCACAGCACCGAGACAGCTTTAGTAAGGGTCTGTAATGACATTCTGCTAGCGAATGACTCTGGTCAGTCTGTGATCCTGGTACTCCTCGACCTTACCGCTGCATTCAACACTGTTGATCACAGCATCCTTATGTCACGGCTAGAACACTGGGTTGGGATTACAGGGGTGGCGCTAGAATGGTTCTGTTCGTATCTGAGTGACAGGAGTTTTTGTGTTAACTTTGGCAATCATTTATCTGCTTCTGTCCCTCTTTCCTGTGGGGACCCGCAAGGCTCCATTCTTGGACTCATTCTGTTCTCATTGTATCTGCTCCCCTTGGGGTCTATCCTGAGGAAACATGGTATTTCGTTTCACTGTTACGCCGATGATTCTCAGATCTATCTGCCTTTAAAACCAAACAGTTCCTGCTCCATCCACCCTTTGCTAAAATGTCTTGATGACATCAAGACTTGGATGGCTGCAAACTTCTTGAGTTTTAATGATCAGAAGACTGAGGTCATTGTGTTTAACCCAAGCTCTGCCACTGTCACTGATCCTGTAAACCTGCACTCCCTTCAGCCTCATCTAAAGCAGTTGGTTACCAATCTCGGGGTAGTGTTAGACTCGGACTTTAAGTTTAATAAACAGATCAACTCTGTTCTACAAAAAAAGCTTCTTTCAGCTAAGGCAGATAGCAAAGCTTAAATCCGTTCTGTCCAGATCCGACCTTGAAAAACTAGTCCATGCATTTATTACAACCCGGCTGGACTATTGTAACTCACTTTATGTTGGGATTAGTCAGGCTTCACTTTCACGTCTCCAGCTGGTACAAAATGCTGCAGCTCGGTTACTAACAGGAACTCGTAGGTTTGAGCACATTACTCTGGTTCTGTTCTCCCTTCACTGGCTTCCTGTGCATGTCAGAATCAATTTGAAAATTCTCCTGCTGACATCGAGTACACTACACAGGTCAATGGATGTTCAGGATGGGTTTCGTATCATCTAATGTTTGCTCACAGTGCACAGACAATATTCCTGACAATTACATCCACACATTTTGGTTCTGTCCACCTGTTCAGAGGTTTTGGTCCGGATATGTGAAGACTTATCAAAGTGTCTGAGATGTAATATTCCACTCTCTCCGTCAGTTTGCTTATTGGGCCACTTAGATGATGTCACCTTGGAGACAAAGTCAATTCACATGATTTTTACTGCTTTATGTATAGCAAAAAAAAAAAAAATACTATACTCACGAATTGGAAAAATAAAAATAATCTTAGTATTAAACAGTATAAAGACCTTTTGTTGGATTACATCAGTCTTGAGATAGCCTGTACCTCCACATCAGACCAATCTCTCTGGGCTTCTTTGATCGGCTCCAACACGTAGTGGAGGTGGGTAAACCCCTTTGATTTAATCCCGTGGGGCATTGTTGTTGATTTGGGGGGGTATCAGGGCTGGGGGCATAGGGAAGTCATGGGCCCGGGGCAATGGCGCTCGACTGGGGAGGTGGCTTTGGTGGTTCTGGGCATTTACCTCTGCTGGCTGCATGCAGGCAGCCTCACAGGAGCCTCTGACCCTGATGTGAGGAGGACAGACAAAAGAA